TTACCCTTTAAAGTATATGTAAAGGTTAAGGGTAAATATGTCATTTTAACTTAAAAGTTAATGCCATCAAATAATTACACTGACAAGGGAGTCAATATAATTTCCCAAATGTTAGGAAAAAAACTATAATAAATATAAATTTCAGGAGGTGTCAGTGTAATTTACCTTTTTTTTCGGTTTTATTGTTGTATAAGTTGCTTGATAACTATTCGTTGCCATACAATTGTGGTCGTGGAACTGATTGAACTTTTTACTTGAATTGGTTCACTATTGAAAATGAAATAGAAAAGTAAAATCGAAAAGGCTCAGTTTGGGTGAGGATAAGTTGGTTCACTATGTATATATATATATATACTTAAGTAAAATTGGAGAAGCTAAGTTTGGGGAGAAATTATTCAATACTCCCGGAGCACCACGTGTTCATACTCCAAACCAATCACCAATTAGTTAGCCCCATGTTGTCCCCCATCTCCAACATAAATCGTGGGCCCTTGTGTCTCTCCACCAATCAAAACATTATGGAGCACCACGTGTCCATACTCCGGGAGTACTGAATAATCACCCAAGTTTGGGTGACGGTGAGTTGGTTCACTATGTGCATATATATATAGAAAAGTAAATTGGAGAAACTGAGTTTGGGTGAGGGTGAATTGGTTCACTGTATGCATATATATATATATATATATAAAGAGAGAGAGAGAGAGAGAGAGAGAGAGAAAACAAGGGTGAGAGTGAGTTGCTTCTGCCTTTTATGGTCGGACTAGTTTTTGGATAGTTGCTTCTTGAAAATTTTAATCCTTGTTGTGATATATGATATTGGGTATTTGGAATTAATTTTCAATCTCTTAATTTCTATTCTTTTTAGATCTTTCTTGGAGGCTCTCTCTGTCTCTCTTCCCAATTCATTTCTTTTTTATTCAGTTTATTCATGTTGTGATTAACCTAAAAATGAATTTTGATTAGGATTATCAAATCGAATTTTTCTGTGTGTTTGATTTTGTTTGTATGTGTTTGATTTGGTGTTTGTTGTGATTTAGGGATCTACCAAGCTGATAGAAAGAGAATGGGGGTTGAAGGGTAGTTGTGTCTTTTCACAATATGATTTAAGGGTATTATGGTCAATTCAATTGTCAAGTTAATGTCATTCATGTTCTTTTAACGAGAAGGGAGAATTTGTGTATTATTTTCAAAAGTACGGGAGGTTAGTGTTATTTTTGAAACTACAGGAGAGGTCCCTGTAATTAAGGTAATCCTCAAGGGAGGTCAGTGTAATTTATCCAATAAATAAATAATATATTTCATTCACTTTTTCTTTTTCTTTTTTCTTATGATTTAAATGCAATCTTATTATGTAATTACAGAACTTAAGCTTTAAAAATGATTTTTAGTGATCCCCAATTAAAGTTCAAACCCAAGATTTCAAATATGTGTTATAAATCTTGACCAACTAAAACAACCAATTGTTCCACTTCAGGTTAACTATTTTGTAAAAGAAAAATGCTTGGTAGCTCAAAGTTGTGTGACTCGAATGGCTCGAATGTATCAAAACGAAATTATTTTATCTCCAAAACGACTTTATTTTGAGACATTCGAATTATTCGGACCATGAAAATTCGAGTTACCAAGCATTGTTGTTTATAAAAATCACTATCATTTCTTTTAAGTAGCAATTAAAATTTTGATAAATAGGAGTTATAAATTCTGACCAACTTGAACAATTCAGTTGATTCCGATTCATTTTAAATATCTTATAAAAATGTCGTCCATTTCCTTTTATGTGGCGATTAGAATTTATCACTACATAAATAAAAAAAATTCAACAACACATAATTTAAGTTAAAACGCATGAAACATCATAGAGTCAAGGTTCTTAAATCTAGAATAACAATGACTAATTGGAACACACTTGGACCTTGGTTTTCTAGATGCATTATTAGGTTTTTAATTTCATAAAATAGAAAGAGCAGGGTAAAGTATATTTTTTTCCTATTGTCAAAATAAATGCAAAGAAAAGTTAAAAGAACAAAGAACCAATTAATAACATGCATTGACTTAAATCTCTTTAAAAACTTTAATACTAGATTACTATTTTCCACATGTTACAGCTGTACTGGCTCATTCATATTGTGGAATGAATCTTTGGTTGTTGGCATGGTGATATGGTGTTTCCTTTGAGTCTTACCTATGTAATGCAGTTTTTCCTCTTTATATTACTCTCCTATCAATTATTTTATTAAAAAACTTAAAAATTACAATGATCACTATTTATTTATTTTATAAAGTTCAAATGGAATTTATTCTGTTAGAAATATTTGTAAAAGTAAAATATGCACAAGAAAGAGATGTGCCTTTAAAACTGTCTGTGAGTGCAAAGCAAACGCCACTGTTTTTTATATTATCCATACCAATGAAATGAGTGTGAAATGAGTTACATTTGCATTTTAGTGGCACTTTTAGACCGTTGCAGATAAGACAAACCAAAAGAAAAGGCAACATGGGACCAAACTGGGTAAGTTCCCCATTCAGTGCACTGGACGGTGTTATTCGTATAATTCATTGCATATATATTTTTTTTAATAATTTGTTACGTTCATATTTTAGGCCCATGCCATGCAGGTAGTTCATTCTTAAAAAAAATTAAATTGATCTAAGAATTATAATTACAAGATTTCATCATAATTTGTTGCAAAAAAATAAAAATAAAATACACTGCTTATTTTTAAAATTATACTTATTATCTATTTTTTTTAAAGGCATGATGAAATATATAGTTACAATTATTAAATCAATCTGATTTTTATAAATGATTAATAGACAAATATTTAAAAGATAAATGGATCAGATCATTATGGTGAGATCCATAATAAGCTCCACACGGGCACGCCACCAACATCATCCCGTCTGCATAATGAGCTGGAGAGAATTTTATTACCAATTGGATATACATCAACCAAGGCAACTAATGCCCAGCCCAGGAAAAAAATACACCAAATCACTCAAACCAAACAGAGAAATCCACGCAACGTTGAATAAATCACCCTACTTTATTTAGAAGACTTGAAGGTTGAGCCCATGCTCAACATTTAGAGCCCAAAAGTTTGACCCACAACAGTCCAATTCACTTGGAGAAATTTAAAATGAAACTACAATTCACTGGGAGGTAACCGTAAGTCCACATGACGTAAATCTCATAGTTGAACAAGCAGATGCTAGCACAGTTGGCCACAGTTGATTCGAATTAAGATTCAAACCATTCCCCCAAGCTACTGTCTTTGATTTACCATGAAAATATTCCTGTGGCTAAATCAATGCTATAAACTTGACTCTAGCATGTGTTAGAAATTTACTATCAAATCATAATGAAACAATTTTGCAGGGAAAATGCACAGCTGAGACAGAAAAATAAGAGCGCCAAGCAAGACGAACATCAGTGTTCCCATCAAATGTGCTTTTCCATGTTAGAATTAACGAAAACCACATTCGTCATAAGCATAATCAAGGCAAGAGGTTGGGAGTTTCACTTCCACTATTGATTCTTATGAAGTGATGTCCGTGGCTTCTTATGAAAAGATGTTGCTGGTGTAAGAGGGTATTCTGAGCTGAGAAACCGGGGCTTCACCGACACAGGAGAAGAGGCCTTAACAGCAGGGAACGCACATTCAAGGAAGTTAGTGTCCACAGCATATAGCTCTAGATTTTCTGACACCAGCAACGAATCCACCTCATCCTCTGTAAACCCAAATGCAAATCCCATCTTAATCATCTTGCAAAGATCATTTGCGAGACCAGTAGCATCAGGTAGGACTGCCTCTGAGATTGCTCGAGAAAAATTAGTAATTAGCTCTATATTTTTCCATTCACCCTTCCAGCTTGGTTTATGGACAAGCAGTCTCTGTAAGTTCTTGTCCCACAGCACTAGTTTTCTTATTTCAGCATGCAAACTCTTCTTTGAGAAGGGTAAATGCAACGAATATGTGACTATCATCGGCCTGTCTGTCCCAAATATTGAGATATCAAGAAAAGATTTTGCTATCCTGTGCCTTTTTTTCAACTGGCATATTAACGACAGGATTTACAGGGAATGCCAATACAATTTTGATCAATGGCTTTCCAATCAGGCTGTCTTCCAAACCCGGCTTTTCAAATTCACAATTCACGGAGAACTGAACAGATTCGGATATGTTTTGCACTCCAAAACTTCTGTATATTTCATACAGTTTAGTAAGGGATGATAAGCCTTTCCGGGGGAACCAAACAGTGGCTTCACACTAGCTTGTCTGAAGGACTTCTTGAGCTGCAGGTCATCAGGGATAAATATTTCATCTTTTTCCACTAATTGAACTGTCCCAGAGATGTTCGTTGCACCAGGTAGCATGGTTACACCTTTTTTCATGGCCATCTTGGTACAAGGGTTCCAACTTTCTGATATGTATCCCCAAAATGAGTCCAACTCCCCAGAACACACATGGTAGTTACGTCTCTCCCAGTTGTTCCAGAGGCTAACATATCTAGACAGGGTTGGAAATGTATCAGCTCCAAAAGTTGTGGACATAAAAGACAACAATTCTTTCTCATAATATCCATCAAGATTATGGAAAAACGAACCAAATAGATTGTCCCTGTCATGAAGCACACAAACACAACTATTTACCCATTTTCCTTTGGTTCCTTGTTGATCTGAAATCCACAATTGTGAAGTACAATAACCCTGTGAATTTGAACTCCACTTGTACTTTGTGTAGAAACCTATAGATTCTCATTATGAAAGAAGTTTCATTGTAAGAAGTAAGAACTTGGAAAATCGAAGTGCAAATGTCCTTGGTATCTGTTTTCACACCAATTACTTTTAGTTCATCTCTTTCCAAAGAGTTTAAGGTCCCATAGAAACCTTGATCTATTAAAGGTCCATCTTGTTCTTCTAGGCAGGAATTCCATTCTGGATTGAACATGTGAGATTTGTTGGGGGTTCTGTAGCCCATGTGGGTTTTCAGCCATTTACTTCATTTTAGTTTGTTGAGCAAATGTTCAAGCAAAGATTGGTCAGACAACTTGGTACTATGTCGTAGAGACTTGGCACAATGCAGCAATGACGAAGTACAGTCTGCTGTAACTGATACTGGCTCCTGAGGCAACTTTAAACCTCTTGCAACAAAATGTGCTACTTCGTTGAAATTGACCATGACACCCATCATTTTCAGTTCATCCTTGAATGAAAAGATTTTATTACCATAGCAGGCATCATCAATTAGAGGAACATCAACGAACTGTGAAAATGTTCCCCATTTTGGATCAAATAAAATAGAACCAGAAGCAAATCTATAGCCGTGACAAGTTTTCAACCATTTTCCCCCCTATAAGAAGCTCGTTAGACAGTAAAACTGTGAAGGCATAGTTTTACTCATACACTTGATACAACTTAGAAGTGAGATCACAATGGCACCAGTTAAACCACTTGAAGATAAGAGCAACTTGACTTTAGTAATAATCATATTACACACTTGGTCAGGGTTTACAGCCACCCCAATTGCCTCCAGTTCTGCCTTGTATGACTGAACCTTGCTTCCATAGTAGACTTCATCAATGATGGGTAATGGAACAACATCAACCAAGTAACCCCAGTTTTCATCGGGCAGAAGGCATTCCGAGGGGCATCTGAAATCAAAACTAGTTTTCATCCAAGGTTGGTACGTAATTTTCTTGGTCAAATCAACAACGGCAGGCCCTAAATGCCAAATGCATTCAAGTAATAGAAAAACAACATCCTTGGTCAACTTCGAGAGATCTTTAGGAAACTTGAAATGTTCAGGAATTAGTTTATACACATCTTCCGGATGCACAATGATGCCTATCAACTTGAGCTCATGCACAAAACCACTTAGTTGGCTCCCATAATATGTTTTATCAATAACCCACAGATCAGTTATCTGTAGAATAGCTTCTCCAATATCAGATGCCAAATAAACAGCTCCACGAGGAGTAACATAACCTTGGTTTTTCTTCAACCATTTCCCCACTTGCAGGGTTTTCAGCAAGTCCACATCAAGCTTGTTGTTGTCATTTGAATACCTGATAAAACTTAGCATTGAAAATCCCAAGTGTCCACTCATTTCAGAGGAAACAAGAGGTTTGAGGTGATCAATTATGAGTTGGTTCATATTCTCTGTCCCAATCTGTACACCAATGAACATCAGCTCATCTTTGAACGACCTGATCTTGTATTTATATTACTCTTCATCTATAGCTGATAAGACCTTAAATGCTTTCCCTATTTCTAAGAGAGTAGATGACTCGGCTCCATCATAAAGATAGCAACAGGGTTGGAGAACTAAAGCCAGAGTATGTCTTCATCCACTTCCCACATTGTATACTTTCAATGAACTTCACAGGTATCTCATATTTGTTCAAACTTCCTTTGTATGGCCAGGATACTTCTTAGCCCTCAGATTTTGGATGCACTCCAGAAGCAACAGAGCCTGTTCACTTGTTAGTTGATTGGAGGCTATATCTAACGCTGTCTTCTGGTAATATATCACGCAAATCAGTCGCTTTAGCATTCTTTAAAAGGAAGTTCAATAGTTCATTTTCTGGTGTACATTCTCCAGCAAACTCAGCAGCTTCACCATACACCTCCCCCAATTCAACATACTTTTGGCAACTGTAAGCTTAATCTTCCTTGTTCATTGGATATGAATCATCATACTCCTCTATCATTTCATCGTTTTCCAATTCAAGCTCCTCAGGAAATATTTTGCTAGAACCAAACAGCTTCACCCATATGCTTCTTGAAGTGGGCACGAGAAAGCTAGTGCACAGGCTTACATTCCCACAAGCATCAACCACTGGCATAGACTGTAAATACCAGAATCATAATTTGTTCCAATATAGTTCTTCAACACAGAATGATAAACAAGATGAGCCAATGAAACTGCTAGCTTTGGGTTCTTCCTTTTACTTAGAAAATTCCCAAGTCCATAACAGTACATAGAAACATCAGTGACCACCACACCTACCTTAGATTTCAGCCAATTTGTCAAAGGTTTCTTTCTTCTCATGTTGAAGAATAGTAGATACTGTGGCATCTGGGAAGAAAAACATATTATTGGGCACCTCATTTCTACGTTCCATTTGTTTAGCCAGGAATGTTGTGGAGCCTGCCAAACAAGATGAACCTTCAATGGTTCCCGTTTCATTTGTAACACATTACATGGTAAAACCTGCCCCTTCCAAGCAATGTACTTGAGAAGAGGTATTTTGTTCAGTCTTAGGGGGAAATACTTCCAATTATCTACAAGAAAGAAAAGAAGCTCCACTGACACCTTTGTAGAAGCACGAAACATGAGGTTGCATGTTTGGATGTATTTTCCACACCAGTCGCAACTATCATTCACAGATGGCACTCCAAGAATATTCAAAATTCCATTATATTTTTTGTCATCCAATGTATTATGCAACACAAACTTTCCTTGGGAAGAAATATCACCGAGTTGCTTAATGTGGGACTGGATTTTCCGGAATTGTGGTAAAATCCTAACTACATCAGTTGGCTTAGAGAAAACCATTTCCCCAGTCAAGAATTTCTCACACGGAACAATGCATTTCCACTTGACCATGATTCTAATGGAATCTCTCACTCCATTAAGCCGTTGCAGAGGAGACCATTGTACAGGCAAGAATTCAAGCACACGGGTAATGGGGAAAAGTTTGCCTGTTTGAGAGACCTTTATACAAGTCATAAGAGCACTAACATAAAAATGGAAGGAACATGCTCAAGGATTCCCAAATTCCATTTGTTATCCAAGAGTATTGCTTCTCTCGAAGATGCAAGAATGAAGTCTGCCTGCAGTACAAAGGGAAAGTTGGTCACCATTGTTGTTGGCAAGAAGGCAAAGATGCCAACAGAAGCAGTCCATATCCTCAATCTATCACCAAATGGGAAAGCCAAAGATATGACCCATTCATTCAAATCCTTCCTAGCATCCACCACATTCTCAGGTTTCACAGGGAAGACTTGTTTATGTACGTAATAGCAGCATGTGGCCTCAGACATGTCTGATCCCTCCTGACCAGAGAGACTTCACGTGAATCTGCCCCTCAAGTCTGCAGGGAAATGAGATCGGTCTCACTATAGATTGAAATTGCAGAAACAGAGTCTGCTAAAGATGAATGATCGCTTTTTTCTCCTACTGACAATCTTTTGATCTTGTATAAGGATAGAAGAACTTCAGGGTGTATCTATGAGAGATGTTTCTTCACGGTTTCCAATTTCCCGGGCTTTAGTGGGAGAATGATTGTTGTAGCTAGAAGGATCTTGCTAGACCCATAGATGTCATGTAGAACTTAAATAGCTGGTCTTGTGGAAACCCACTCTGGGACGATATGCCCTATGCCACAACCATAATTAGGAGGTTCATCGAACCTAATTCGGTAACCATTGCTGAATATGTGTGGCTGTGCAGTGACAAGAAACACGTTCTTGAACCCAATTTCTACAAGGTGTGAAATGAAATGTGGAAAAGTCATAATTCAGTTCAAGAAAAATTAGATTTGATTATTAAGAGATTGCATAAATTTGTTATTGTATCTATTAGTCAATGCAAAGACAGTTAAGAGCTTATATAAGGTACTGTAAACAACACACATCAAAATCAAGTTAACACGTATAATTTTTTTATTTTTTAGTTTTTTATTTTTTTATTTTATAAGAAACCGAATTAAAATTAGAAACTAAAATCGTAATTAGTTTATCACTTGTTGAGGTTATTTTTGTAATCTAGCAAGTTAGTCTAGACCTCTCCTTAATCTTCCAATTTGTATCCCTCCCTCCTTGGGATTCAATAGTACCCCATATAGGGGATGCTATGTTCAAATGAACTATTCATACAGACCCCAATTCTTAGCCAATTATCAAATTATGTATTTTGTTGGATTATTAATCTAATCCCAATGTCATATCTATCCAAACAAATATGCCTAAGTTTATAAAGGTCCATCTTTAAAAGCAAAGAACCAACTCAGTAGTTCCAGAACACCAATTCAATATGTTGACATGGCTTTCTGGACTAATAAAAGACCAATAGTCTCAGAGAGAAGTGACTCAACCATTAGGCTACTTAGCCTATTGCCTAAGGCCCTTAAATTTTTTATGAAAAATTCTCATTGTTGGAGGTCCCAATTTTTCAAAAACTTAATAAGATAAGAGCTCATTTTGATGTTTAGCCTAAAGTCTCTTGGAACCTTAAACCGTTACTGGTCACATACAGGTTGAGTCAACCTAATCCACCTTACTTAACTAAGTGGGAGACCCAATCCGGAGACCCAATCCGCATATTCCAACCCTTACCTCATTGATCTGGACTAAATAATTCTCTAACAAACTATAATAAAAAAATTACGACTCAAGTTACACACTATCTAAGAAGTACGAACACTAGTACTAATAAGGTGGCACACATGTCACACCCCTACACTTTTCGGGCACTTCTTAAACACGTGTCAAACACATCCAAACATATCTTCTTTTCTTTTCTTTTTTAGACCCAAGCATCCTTCTGACACTCAGGGAACACATGTTAATCATTTAGACACGCATAAAATACATTACTTACTCTGTCCCAAAATATTAGTTCCTTATTCCATTTTTCATCGTCCCAAAATATTAGTCGTTTTTCAAAAATTAAGTAATAAAATAATATGAATTTACTTTTTTGCCCTTCTTTTAAATTCATTAACACAAAAAATACAATTATCACAATTGATATTCTAAAAAAAATGTAGTATCAAAGGGTAATTTTGAAAAATTAATATTTTTAAAATGTAATAATCGTACTATCAAAAAAAGTTTGATTCCCCAAAAAAGACTATTATTTTGAAACAAAAGGAGTATAAGTTTGAACAAAATAATATAAGATACAATAATAAATAAGTAAATAAAAGGGTAAATTACACTAACCTACATGGCAATTGTAGAAACCTCCCTTACGCTGTGTTTGGTTGGAGGATTTGAGAAGGGATTTAGAAAAGGAAAGGGAAAAGGTGGATGAAATTTGGTGAAATATAGACATATTTTATACACATTTCACCTGTCTTTTATTTTTCTTTTTCTAAATTCTTTCTCAAATCTTCCAACCAAACGCAGCGTTAAGGTTTGTGAAATGACACCGACCTCCCTTGTAAACGTTTACTATAAGGGTGATAACACATCATTGATAAGTGGTACCATATCACCTACCAATAACAAAACTATACATGTGATGGCCAACCCCACAATTCATGTATAACCATTTGTTTTAAGTTTTAAGATGATTATGCAACGGCCACATATACATAATAAGGCTTGTTGGGTTTACATGTTGTGATGTGCATGTAACACTTTCAAAAAAATACACGGCAAAAATCTGGACACAAGATCCTCTTTTATCACAAATCCCAATCTCCTTGTAATTGTTTTGGGACATAGGGACAAAACCCCTTGGCCAATAATCTGGGCTTGATGGTTATTTTAATTTCATCAGTGTGGACTTTGAGAAAGTAGCAAATGTCAAAAACAGGGGTTTTGCTCCTTTGTATATTTTAAGAGAAAAGTTAGGAATCATGAAATTTTTTTCATGAAAATGATTATAAAAGATTTATGATCCTTAGATTACCTTGATGAGTGTGCAGTATTTTATTCTAAGTGTAATATAAGAGTCACAAACTTGATGAGTGTAGTGTTTTATTCTAAGTGTAATCTAAGAGTCACAAAACTTTCATGATGCCTACATTGCTGATATTTTAATTAACCCTGCTCAGCATATGTAAGTTGACAAAAGAAAACAGAGAGAGCTTGGTTAGTGTAGACATATTGTATCTATATACCTTTTTCCCCAGTGAAGCCTTTGTGTCCGTGATATGTCTTAGTGGATCGGCCAATGCTGCAAAGCGATTCAATGTTGTCCTTAGCAAACCCTACCTCATTATTGAACGCCAAAAGAGTAGCCGGAGAGCCCAATTCAGTAATGTCTGCATTCGTCAGCACAAACTCCAGCGCTGGTTCAACCCCTGGAGAGTACTCATTGCTTTCTGCATTCTGTATCATCATCCACCAACAAACAGGAAGAGAAAATTATAAGAAGAACAAGAAGAACAAGATTGAGAGAGAGAGAGAGAGAGAGAGAGAGAGAGAGGGGAAATAAAGAAAGAAAGAAAAACCTGTATGAGCTCCATGAGGAAGTGGAGGTCTTTAATGTAGAGCTGGTAAGAAAGGTTAGTGACAGCATTGTAGAGCTGGTAAGAAAGGAAGTGGAGGTCTTTAATGTGGAGATCTTGAGTTAATGGGTTTGGGACTTTCTCACCTATTGAATATTTGCGCTTCCTTATCTCCTCTATATGCCGCCTCGCCATCTCTGTTTGTTGCTTCTGCCATTGTAGGTGGCCATTGGCTTCTTCAACCGCACTTAAATGTCTACTCTGCTTCTGCTGGGAACTGGAGGTACAACGAAAGAAACAGGGGAGAGAGAGAGAGAGAAGTGCATGAAGAAAAAAGGAATGCCAGGGGGGAGAGAACTTCGGAAGGTGAAAGAAGAGGGGGTTGGGGAAAAATTATTGGGAGAGTTATGTATACATTTGGGGCTTTTCGCAAGTTAAGGTCTCGTTTGGGGGCTTTTTTTTTAGTTAAAAAGTAAAAAAATTATTAAATTAGTTTAAAAAGTCAATAATTTATATTAAAAAATTAAAAATTCTCTTTTTTCTCTATTTTTTGTACATTTTTTTCGTAAAAAGTCAAAAAATTATTCCAAACATATTAATTTTTTTTAATTCATATTTTAGCCAAATAGTCAAAAAGTTACTAAATTAGCTTGTTCCCAAACGAGGCCTAAGTTAAAATAGCAACTTATTTCTTAAATTAGGCCTAGTTTGGACGGAATTCTCAAAATAGACTAAAGCGGTATTACAAACCACGTTTTCACTGTTTCTAGGACCCTCCCGCGAAAAATTTGTAAATTAGTAAAAGCGTTGTTACAAATCACGCTTTTAAGGAAATTTCAGTTATACATAAAACGTGGTTAGAAAGCACTCTTTTAAGCAAAATTTGTTTTCTTCAGAAAACGCGGTTTCAAACCACGCTTTTACTGTGCTTATAAATTAAATTTTGTTTTCAGAAGAAAACGTGATTTGGAACCAAGCTTTCACTGTGCATATTTTGTTTTCTTAAGAAAACGTGATTCACAATCACGCTTTCACTATTCACTATGGAAGGCGTGGATTGCAACCACGCTTTTAACATTGTAAAATCCGTTTATATTTTTCAACATAAAATTTTCACAAAATATTTTTCACGTAAATTTTTTTTTTTTTTCTGTTGTCTTTTTTTTTTTTCTGTTGTCTTTATTTTGGTGTAATTCAGAAAACGGGTTTGTTAAAACCGTTTTCTAATACGGCTTTCCTAAAAGCGTTTTAATGTAATTTTTTTTTTCTCTATTGTCTTTGTTCTGGTGATAATGTAATTCAGAAAACGGGTTTACTAAAACCGTTTTCTAATACGGCTTTCCTAAAGTTGTTTTCATGTAATTATTATTATTATTATTATTATTATTATTATTTTGTCTTTGTTTTGGTGATAATGTAATTCAAATTTTTTTTTTGGCTTTACTAAAGCCGTTCTCATGTTAATTTATTTTTTGTTTCTTTTGTCTTTGTTTTGGGTTAAAAGGTGTAATTCAGAAATTTTTTTTGACTTTACTAAAGCCGTGTTCATGTAAATTTTTTATTTTTTATTTTTTTTCTTTTGTCTTTGTTTTAAGTTAGAAGGTGATAATGTAATTTAGAAATGTTTTTTGGCTTTACTAAAGCCGTTTTCATGTAAATATTTTTTTTTGGGTCGTTTGTCTTTATTTTAGGTTAGAATATGTAATTCAGAATTTTTTTTTGGCTTTACTAAGGCCGTTTTCATTTAAATTTTTTTTTTCTTTGTCTTTGTTTTGGGTTAGAAAGTGATAATGTAATTCATAAAATTTTTTTGGCTTTACTACAGCCGTTTTCATTTAATTTTTTTTTCTTTTGTCTTTGTTT